AACAATATAGCTGCTTTAGAAAAGACCTGAACAACTGTAACATCAATAGACACTCTAAAATGAAAGGAGGGAATCCTATGAGGCCACAGCCCTAGACCAAGAACTCCAGGCAGCAAATGTCTGTTGAGAGAAGGGAAATAAAAGAAAAAACTTTTACTTGCTTATCCAATGCCAAGTGGTCAGCCCTGAAATCTTATATACACACACGTAACACTAAGTGGACTTTAATAACAATGAAATAAAAAGAGGCCATGAATTATGAATTGAGAGGGAGTCAAGGAGAGGACCTGGGAAGGGCCGAAGGAAGGAAAAATGAGGAGGGAAATAATAGAATTGCATTTTAATTAAGAGAAAGAGAACATTAATGCCAAAATAAAATGAAGTCAATGGGAAATTTATCATCTATAATATTGCAAATACATATTAATAAAAAGATAGTGATTGCAATAATAAAATAAAATGTATTGTACAGGTATATAGTCTATAAAGTGCTTATAGGTTACAGTAAACATTAAAATGTTGCCTTCTTTTAAGGGGCATCATTAAGAAGTCAGAAAATTGGAAGTTATTCTATGTATCTTCATTATAATCAAGTGAGTGATAATGAATTTACATCATGAGAGATAAAACATTGAGCTCCAAGATCAGAGAAATACTGCTGCAGGTAGAGATGTCACCATCAAGATTAGGGTTATTGACCCTGGAGATCTCAGGCTATAGCAAATAAAGCAGGTGGCTATGAATTCGGTGCCAGAAACAGCTGCAGTTCTTGGGTGTTTTTTGCAGGCTTTCTATCCAAGCCTGCAGTGGAGTTTTCCAGACTCTCTGGGAAGCTGCTGTGAGTCTCCCATGTGCCCTCATTTCTATTTGCACTCAATTCTAAAGAGCAGTTTCTCTGCTTCTGTCTGCTCTCCAAGTCCTCTTCAAATCCTCCTTAGGAAACCGTACCTGAGATCAATGAGGAAGTGAGATCTGAGAAACAGCTCCTGCCCCAGCAGTCTACACATAGCTTAAAACACTTTGTAAATGCCTTCTGATCATCATCTTTTTTAATCTCCATGGCAACCCTATGATGATGCATTATTATCATTACATTTAGTTGGTGGAGGATTGCATGGTAAGGTGATGAAGCACCTCACCCAAACTTATACAGCCAGTAAATAGAAGAATGATCAGGAATGATACAGAAGAGTGGTTTCAAAGCCTAGGAGATGAATCATGACTGTTTTCCATGCCTTCTGTTGACTGCTGTTTATCTCAGCAAGTTATCATTATTAGTAGTTATGAATTCAATCAATTATAGACAAGTTTACTAGTATGCGCTCTGGCCTGTGAGTGCTAACATGGTTCCCAGAAAATTAGTATTTGCCTGTTGTCACTCCTCAGGTCCTTAGCCTATGCATCCACAAACATTTGGTTTGGGGGCAGGATAGTATTGCATCCTCCGTTTTGCTTTTTATGTGTAAACACACACAACCCAGATTTCACTGGGACTTTGTACCATACCAGGAATCTTACACTAATGATAAGTATTGTAGATCATTTCCTAAAGGTATTCAGCTCTAGAGTTGAGACTGGCTTAACGGTCTCAAATATTTTCCATTTGTGCTGAATGAGCCTTGTGAATCAACTAGCAATCAATTCCCACTTCTAACGTGACATTCTACCCACACAGCTCCATTCTCACCTCCCAAGTCTATTAGCTCCTCGGTTATATTTATGTGTCTCTACAACCTCATGGTTGAATGAGACTGACATTCTATTTCCATGAGCTCCTTTGAAAACCTGAGGATTTAAATGCTCCTAACTAGAAAACGTATTTCTGCAAGTTCCAGTTCTCAAGTGCAAAATGTCTGGGTACATAGAGTGACAGATTAGACAACCCTTTTTATCTTCAGAATCATCTGGGCCTAGACTTTTAACCAGCAACATACTGTACTGAAAACTGCGATTGGCATTTTCTTTGGGCCATCAACCAATTTCTGAGTAAAGACATTGAGACTTACTATTAACTATGAATGCTCGACTTTGCTAAGGCTTGTCCAATACCTCTTTTAATTTAACTTAATCTACTCTGTTTTTATGAATCTACGTTTTGGCTCCAGACTTTAATCTTTTTTTCATTCTTTATGTCTTACTTTCCTGCTTCCTTTGTGTCTGGATGTCTGGCTGACCCCTGGCATCTCCCTGACATCTCCTTTTCTTTCTCCCTGAGCCTAACTTCCTCTTCCTTATTCTCCCTACCCAGAAGTTTTGTCTATACTTTATCCCTCACTATTGGCCTTTCAGAGTTTTACAAATTTTAAAACAATCTTATTTTGCATACCAATCCCAGTTCCCTCTCCTATGCTCCCATTGCCCCCACCATCTCCCCACCCCATCCCTGTCCACTCCTCAGTGAGGGTGAGGCCTCCCATGGGGGATCATTAAAGTCTGTCACATCCTTTGGGACAGGACCTAGACTCCTCCCTCTTGTATCTAGACTGAGATTCCCTTCATAGGGAATGGGCTTCCAAAGTCCAATTTGTGCACTAGGGATTAATACAGGTTCCACTGCCAGTGGCCCCAAAGACTGCCCGGGCCCCCAACTGACATCCATGTTCAGGGGGCCTAGTTTAGTCTTATGCAGGTCACCAAACTGTCAGTCTGGAGTCTGTGACTTTCCACTTGCTCTGGTCAGATGTTTCTGTAGGTTTCTGCTTTGTTCACACTATTGCTCCTCCCTCAGCTTTTTATTAGACCAATCAAGTGTCTTAGGCAGGCAAGGTAAAACAGCAACATATCTTTACATAATTAAACAAATGAAACACATCTTTGCATAGTTAGAGAAATATTCTGCAACAGAAAATATTTGCTGTTTTAATTGCTTATGGCTGGTATTCTTTTGTGCCTTTAATTGTATATACTTATTAGAGCATTAAAAATGTATCCCCAATATGACTAGATTCGTATTATTTTTCTAAATAGAGGGTATTTGACTTAATCCATACAATCCATTTTTATAGAAAATAAGAAATACTTGCTTCCTTTCAAAGAACAAAAAATAGAGAAAATTTTCACCTGATTTGAAAGATATAATTTTAGAAACAAAACCACTTTGTACCTCCCAGGGTCACAACAGAGAGGTACTGCGGCCCTGAGTTATTTTATCAGACTTAATTTTGCTTTAACTTAGTGCCAAGGATTTTTGTGACAAGATAAATCTTGTTGGTCCTTTCATTCCCTTTTCTCTCCATTGTCTAGTGGTCTTTGTAATGAACAGTGAGTTCAACTATAATACTGCAATCTCTTGTCTAGACACAAAATTTGAAATGTTTTGAGTTGTGTTTCATTACATTGATATGTAATTGACCATTGACTGCTTTGTGAATACTGCTAGAGTGATGGCCTCTCTTTAGTTATAATAAAAGTGAAGTCTTTTCAGTGATAGTAAGGCCCACTCCCTTTTCCCTGTCTTTCAGAATATAGAAAGTACTGCATATTGAAAGTATTTCCTTGACCAGTGCAATGTATTTGACAACCCTAATCCTAACCCATCATAGTGTCTTCATGAAACAAACTATCTTTGTCCTTTGTTTTCTGGCTTTAATTTTCAGACTCTCTAAGTTATTCAAATTGTGTCTCTACCAGCAACATAGGATCTTGTCCTCTGCAAAATCTGTATTGCCTATACTTAGATATTCTACACATTCCTTCCCCCATCCCAAATCTTTCTCTATTTATCCTCAAAGATTGGGTTTGTAGCACTAAAGATGGGATAAGAATTTTAGCCTCTGTCTTCCCAAAGAGACTTTGGTTAAAATCTTTTCCTTCATTTCACCATGACTTTTGGTTGCCTTGAGTGGGAAGCTCTGACAAGACTCTGAATACAAAATAATACAGACTTATAATAAACACTTAGAGTAAACCTCTGAAAATATATCACTGGAGACAGACTGATGACAAGTAGGCTTCTTAAACATATGAGGAAGAGCATTAAAGTAGGAAAATAGGCCAGCATCCTCAGCCACAAAGAACAAACAAACTCAAAAAGCAAATCAAAACTAGAATGGGAAGTTGCTAGTACCTTCTTTCCTAAGTAATCCTAATATCTAACTTTTCCAGCCTACTCAGTAGAACAATTGCCACTACAGAATAGAAGTTAAAATGACAATTGCCAGAACAGGATAAAACAAGCAAGATGAGATGTGACTGGCAGGACTGTAAGGAGGCATGCCACTTTACAAAGCCAATTACAGGGCATAAAACACCATCCTCCTCCTCATGCTGAGACAGTTGTCCATTTCTGGATAACACAACTGAGGACAAATTGAATGGAGATTGTCCTTGGCTCTGCTAATTGCATTAAAACAACACATGCATGATCCTTGGGCAGATTTTAGCCCAATTTAAGGTTAGAACATTACAGCAGATGAAAATTTAAGTCTATTCTGTGGGGAGAGGCAGAGCCATTAGGGGAGGAGGGAAGGCAAAAGAGAAGAGGGAGTGATGAGAGTGAGAGGGGGAGAATTTTTGTAAAAATAAATTCTATATTGTTTGGAGATTATGTAAGACTTATGTGACTTTGTGCAAGCACAACCATTCTTTAATTCCTCACATTCTTTGGGGATTTCAAAGGGAAATTACATTAACACATTTTTAGAAAAGGCATATCGTCTGTTTTAGCTAAGGCTTGGTTCCTAATGGGATTTCTTGGAAGAGTTAAACCATATTTAAAACTAAGAAGCCATACTTTAACAAAAAGAATTTAGATAAAATTTCTAGTATGATCTGGGCTAAGTTTTGCTGTGTTTTGGTTGTGGGACACAGCTGGTTTGTTTATCTGTACTTCACTGTCCTTAGAGTGAGGACAGTTACTGACTGCTTCATGCCTGGAAGGATTCTGAGAGAGTTTTAATTAGTTGCTATATGTGAACAGTTGGTGTTGTGCCAAACAATGATAAATTCTGGGTAGTCTTTTTTCTAAGTAGATCTAAATGTGTGTCTTATTCTGTCTTTAGGAATTAATGACCAAGCTAATAACTGAGACACCTGACCAGCCAATCCCATTTCTCATTGACCATCTTCAGTCTAAACAAGGAAACCGAGGACAACTGCAAAGAACCCTCTCTGGGTCAGCTGCTCTCTGGGCAGAAAGTGAAACATCAGGTAATTGGGGGAAAAGAAGAAACTATGAATATATTTGTTAGTTTGATATACAGCTGATACAGTAGTTCTCAACCTATGAGTCTTGACCCTTTTGGGGGTTGACTGACCCTTTCACAGAGGCCACCCAAGATTATCAGAACACTTCATAACAGTAGCAAAATTACGGTTATAAAGTAGAAACAAAAATAATTTTGTGCTTGGGGTCACCACATTGTGAGGACCTGTATTAAAGGGTCACAGCATTAGGGAGGTTGAGAACCACTGATACAATGGAAAAGTTTTACAAGCACTTTAAACTATAATGTGATAAACCTATAATTTTCAGGTATTCTATGTTTATAGCTTCATGTTAACTTTTCATATAAAATATATGAATTTGAATATATAGTAGTGTACTAGATGTGTCCAAATGAAAATCAGAGTATTTCACTTAATAGAAGGATTCTGATTTGCAAAAACACATTTCATTCTGTGTGGATTCAAATTATTCTAAACTTGTGTTTCTTTTTATGAGCAAGGGTTGAAAGAATACAGCTTCTCTGATCTGGAAAGTAATGAGTCAGTATCTACAACATTACTTCTGCTATTCTCAAAGCTGATTATTCTGTATTTCTTCCATGACTGGTATTATCCTGAGTAGTAAATTTAGCGTTAGAAATAGCTGAACACTGGGCAACTCAGGACATAGGGGAATCAGCCTTCTAAGTCCCAATAGCCTCCTTCTCCCACTAAACAAGGGGAAACAGCAGGAACAGGAGAGATGTGTCTTCAGTCTTCCTGCGTATTGTTTTACAGGTTTGATGTTTGCTTTCAAATCTCAGTCTCTTCAGGCCTTGGGGAGATGTAAAGGCATTTAAGAAAAGGGAACCATTTGAGAAAATGCCTCTGTAAGATTTGCCTTTGAAAAAGTCTGTTGACGGTTTGGCTCTATAGGAAAACAGGATGAGCAACAGGAAGATCAAGCCAATAAGCTGGAGGAAACTCCATGGTTTCTGTTATAGTTCCTACTTCTGGGTTCTTGCCTTCAACTCCTGACCTCAGTATTTGAATACTACTGGAAGTGGAGGAGGAAGTGGAACCCTTCCTTCCGATTTCTGGCTGTTCATGCTGTTTTAGTGTTATAATAGATCAGACTTTGGTTTATATAAATTTAAAGAGGACACCATGTTGCACCCAAGTTGTCAGAAGGACAAGATATACTGTAGCAATGTCTGGAATGTGGGGAAAGCTGAGGCTAATAATGAGCTGTGGTGTTTCCCAAAAAGAAGGGTACTTCACTTCACTTGTGGAGGCCTGTCATTGCAGAAGCTGTTGGAAACTGAGAGTCTGGAGCCTTCACAAGTGTGTGTGTGTGTGTGTCTGTGTGTGTGTGTGTGTGTGTGTGTGTGTGTGTGTGTGTGTGTTTCTCTATTCCAGGAAGCTGCGAAGAAGCATTTTATTTGAAAAAGGATGCAAACATTAGGATATGGAGTGAGGATTTGAAGCTGGGGCAGTTCTTGCTTATGTGGAATGTAAGGTCCATAGGAAAAAAGAGGGAAATATTTTGGAAGGAAGATGTGGAAGGAGCAGGAAAACAACCAGTTCTTGGATGTTAACTGAAGCAAAGAATGCTTATTTGAATAGTGGGTGATGATTCCTTCTTAAGCCTTGGCTGTGACTGGTGCATCTTCTACTTGATTACAGAATGTCTCTAAACCCAAGGACAGAGACAAAATACTTTTTCAAAATAGCTGAAGTTGCCCTATTGTTCCGTTTCAATACATCTAGCGACTCAGGACAAAGCATGTTCTCACTTGTGCATTGCTTAATAGTGTGAAGGAGAAACATTATTTTTGTTTCATTTTTTGCAATGAAAAGCAATTTATTTTGTAATTACATGCATGTGCACGTGAGTGCACACGCATGTGCACCTCTCTCTCGCGCACACACACACACACATATACACACACTTTTGATATTCAAACCTGTAGCTGAGCTATTTTCTATGATTCTTCAGGAAATTCATTTATGTGCAAACTGAGTTGCCTGTAAGGGACACTATGTCTCCCCTTTCATTTGACATTGCTTTTCTCATTTTGTGGCCTCTCTGGTCTGGATCTTCATGGAGGGAAATGTGTTCTTTAAGTCCCCGATTCAATTTTCAATGCTACTAGTGTTCCTTTCCCAGTACAGAATACAGATTTAATATGGTATTTTAGTTTTCTTTCAGTACTTAAAAAGACACAAAACAATTCCTTTAAATAAATTTCTAGGTATAATTGTGTATTAATCACAGCTTGCTCAGCAACTCTTTCCTCTGATTTTGTTTTGTTCCATACAGTTATTTTACTTTCATTAGGAAGTTAAAAAAATAGGTTCTGACATTTAATAGTTGTAAGATTTCAATTTTCCTTGGTGTCTTAAATATTCTATTCATTCATTTAATATATTTCATTAATTCTTTCTAGAATGATAGCTTTCTAGGGACTCAAATTTAAACATGGAGTATTTTTTTCTAGTCCCAGGTATGTCAGCACATAGTGTAGGCAGAGTTTTCCTCGCCTTTTCACCATATAACTTGAAAATCTGGGATTTAAAAAAATCCAAAAGACAAATGTGTACTATCAATCCTGTCTTGTGTCTGCTATGCTAGTGAGTTACCTGAACTTCTGCCGTCACATTAACCAAGTAGGTAAGAAAGGTATCGTGGCTCAGTTGTTTCACTAACATGACTTTTGCACATAAGTATAAAATACAGTAATTAAGGTAATTCATAAATTCCAGTCTTTTACTGAACGCAGATCCTCTTAGAATACATTTAAGTAAATTTCATGAGCCGGATTCTCTCCATCCTTATTACCATGGTTTGTGTATATTTTGTTTTAACAGAACCCAAAGGAACAAGAAGAGATTTTAGAAGCTATGATAAACCTTGGCAGTTGAATGCAAAGAAGCCTAAAAAATCAAAAAGCGACCTTGCTGTGTCTAATATTTCTCCTCCATCACCAGATTCTAAATCATGTAAGTTTGTTACTTAATTGTTCCTAAATTTGAAAGTCTTCCTAGTTTGGGAAGTAGAGAAAAGGTATACATTGAACTCAAACTTTTCCTCTGTTTTGGGTTCTTTGTTAATCTCAGTGAATACACGTTCATTTCAGAACTGTCACTGAGCTTCATGCACACAAGTGTACTTAGTCATTTATACCCTTTCACATGTATAACTGATTGAGATCTTTTTGATATTCCACTATTAGAAAACTGGGAGCTGCATGGAGCAGATCTCTGGCCTCTTCTGGCTGGTTGCAACAATAAACCTTTGAAGCAGCCCAAACTTTTAAGAAGGTAAATCAAATCTTTAGAACAGAAGGCAAGAATATTGAACCCATATGTTTAAAACAACTGTTCATCTGACTTCCTTTAGGTCCTCCTCTTTGTTATTTATGATTACTCTCCATGGTCCGTCTTTGTCAATTATGAAGTGCAAATTAGAAAAACAATGAAAGAAAAAAATTTTTGAGACATGAAATGAATGTGTCAAGCACCGTTCTCCATCACGAGTGACTCAGTCTCCTTATCTGTTTTCTAAAGTTAAGGCTATAGACTTGAGAATAACTTATCTCTGAGGGACATGCCTGATGCCATGTGTCTGCAGGGTCTGTGCTCTCAACGAGACACTGCCAGCCACAGCATATTGGCGGGATGGTGAGCTTCTTCTTCAGTTTTCTTCTGTCTAGGTAATTTACTTACAGTTTCTAGTCGTAGGAGAATATTAGCAAGAAACTTTTAATGACAATGAAATAACAAGTCATTTTCCATGGACTATGTAGAGATACTGTATGTGACAATAAAAACACAATGAATTTAAGCCATACATGGAAACATATTGGCAAAATTACTACATTTTTGAAGCGGTTGTTGAAGTTGTATATTTTGGTGTCTGGAGGATGATTAAAAATAGTAAAAAGTAGAAAAATGAAAGTTAGTAAATTTATCAAAATCAGAAATAAAATTACTTATCTTCCCCAAACTAATACAGAAAGGTGATAATAGCAACAAATAAAAGCAAAGGATAAGGGACCAATATAGTGAATAAGTAGGTAAGTATACTTGCCACCAGAGTCTGTTGACCTGAGTTTGAAGCCTGGAAACCACATATTACAAAAGGAGAACCAACTCTTGAAAGGTGCCCTCTGTCCTCCACACTGAAGTTATAGCAGGAATGTATACACTATAAATAAACAAATGAATATGAAAAACAACAAAGAGTAGATTATGAAAAGAGAAAAGAAAACATCAAAATAGGGTCTCCAGTCCAAATGGCAATAATTACACTAAGTAAATTGACTTAGCATTCCAATTATAAAGCAAATACTTTCAAGCTAGCTTACAAGGGTGTAGAATAAAAGCAAAAAACCAAAAGAAGCATGCAGGCAAAAGTCATAAATACAAAAAATAAAGAAGCCTCTATTGCCAAGGTAATAGCGAAGTATAATTTGAGATGAAGACCAGTACCAAAAAAAGAGATTATTTCATGACACATCTTATATCAAAATGTTATTGAACCAAGACAAAGTAATTAGCAAATATAAATATGACTCATTGGTAGAGTTCTTGTTTGACATGCACGCAAGACCCTGGGTTTAATTCCCAGCACCAGAGAGAAGAACTAATACATATAGCCAGGAGCAAGGTTCTTAAGCATATGATAGGAAATTTCCAGCCCCAAAGACAGGCTCAGTAGGTAGAACAGAAAAATAAGGGTACAGCAACTTTAAACAACACAACCAACTACATTGAGTTAGTTGACATATAGAATACTGCACCAAATAAAGTTAAGATGTATAATTTTGCATTCCAGAAAGAATGTTCAGAAAAATAAACAATGTGTCCTGCTATATAACAATTTAAAATCCAAATTGCATATGTTTAAATAACCCGTGATTTAATGACAAAATCACAAAGATCTTGATCTGTACATGGTGTGAATTTATAGGCTGAAACCAAAGTAGTAATGCTTAGGAAGAAATTCTTATTTCTTATGTAAAAATCTTTAATAAAAATAGCATAAAATTGGTGATATGAACATTCATTTTTTAAAAATCCAAGAATATGTTGAGAGACAATGATTAAAATAAATGGAATAGAAAAAGAAAAATGGGAAAACAATAAATTTGACAGTTGATTATTAGAAAAGATACTTTAAAAATGTCTATAAAGACATATCAAATATAAACCACAACTAATGAAAGATTATGCATTATCACATATGATAAAAATATTAAAAGGCTCTATTTAGAACATAATTTGGTGACCTATGTCAATAGAACTGGCAGTGGATATGAAAGACAAAAATTCCTAGAAAGACACATTCTAAAGTTGATTGAAGAAAAATTAGAAATATTTAAATTTCTTCTATCAATGAAAGAAATTTAATTCATCTAACAATTTCCCACTTAAAGAGCTTAAAGCGAAAAGGGCTTCATTGGAGAACAAAATATTTGCTGGTTAAAGGAAATTGTGCCACACAAATCTGTTATAGAAAATAGAGAAGCATAACAGTTCATATTTCAACTCATTTCAGGAGACCTCCCTGACACTGTTGCTAAAACAGCGTGAAGACACCTGCATTACTGACCAGTCCTGTGACTGTGACAAAATACACGATAAAGGCAACTGAAAGGAGAAAGATTTAATTTTGGCTCACAGTTCATCGTGTGAGGGAGGAGTGGCAGTGGGAACATGACGTTATAAAACATCCAGAGAAGGCTACAGGGAGGGAGGGACGCTTATGCCCTGCTAGGCTTCTCTTCTTTTGATGTCAAGAACTCCAGCCAACAAGTGGTACCACTGACAATTATTGGAATATTCCCACCTTAAGTAACCTAATCTAGGTACCCCGAAGACATTCCCAGAGGTCTGTCTTCTCAGTGATTATAGATCCCATTGGGTTAGCATTAACTATATCAACACTCCATCTAGAAAACTAGACTATCCTTCATGACCACAAACACTGTTTTCACTACTTTTCTCATTGCAGTTTCAAAACATTTGTTACAATAACTTATGAGAGGAAGGATGTATTGTAGCTCCTGAGTCCAGAGGGGCCTCTTCACTGTGTGGAGGGCATGATGGAGCAGGGTAGTCCACATCATGTCAGACAAGAAGCCGGGGAAAGCAATATGGAAAAGGAGAGAGGAAGATGTCTTCAAGTCTTGCCTCAGTGGCCTTGCTTGTCCTGACGCATCCAACCTTGTACTTTTAACCTACCACTCACAATGCCTCCATGTTCTGACTCCTTTAGATTGATGGCTGGGTGGACAGCATGGGAATGATTCAGATCCCCTGAATGTGGTGTCTGTGAGGAGGCCTAGGTTATCTATGGGGTCTTGGGTAGTATTTATCCCTGGTGTACAAATAGATTTTGAGTGCCCATCTCATAATGAGGGATGCTCCCTCAGCCTGGACTCTTGTTGTGGGGCCTAGGCCCTGCCCTGGATGAAATTAGAGACTCTGGAGATCCACCATGGAAGACCTCACCATCCCTTGGGATCAGAGTAGAAATTGGGTGGGAGACTGGTAGGCCTGGTGGGGAGGACAGAGAGAAGGGGAACAAGAGGGAGCTGGGATTGACATGTGAAACAAACATGTTTTTAACATAAATTTTAGAAAAAAGGAAGAGGCAAAAAAGGACTTAGTCTTTTCAGTCTCTGTAAATGCACTGTTACACACATACCACGGCAATGTCTTAGAATCTCGTTTGTAATTGTATTACAATTATAAATTGGTGAAATTAATCATTACAGGCATATACCAAACATTGAAACATTGGTACAGAAATGAAACAAAAGAGTAGTAAGTTGGTATATTTGTTTCCCCAAGAAATGCAATGTTTACGTAATATGGCAAAATTGTTTTGTGTCATTCATTCTAAACTAAAAATGGGCAGATTAAGAACAAATGATACAATCTCTTCAATAGAGGGAGGAAAGCATTTGACAAAATGCAGTTGTTATGATGAAAACTACCCAAAATAGTGATGAAGGAACACGTCCTTGCCCTAAGAGAGGAAAAATTCTCAGACATTTCTGAGAGAAAAAAATAGATCAATTGGGTAAATATGTCCTGTCCATGTTGTTTATTGAGAAAATGTCAATATGCTAATTTTTGCTAGAATTTACACATGATTCCTATCCAAAGGTCCAATAAGCAGTACTCTGGAAATTGAAAAGTTATGACAATCAAGAAAATTTGATGTTGGTGAAAGAGCTGGTGAATAGATCAATTTAACACAACAAAAAGTAGCAGAATGAACCATTAAAAAGTTACAGAATTTGACATCACCAAGCAAAGTCAAATGAAATTTAACTGAACCTTCCCTGAGAAGATGCTTTTCCAAGGTTCCAGTTTCTATGACTACTACACACCAAACCACTACAAGTGACCTTTAATTGTGTGTGAAAATGTAATGAAAGTGTAATAATATTTGGAGGCACAACTCAACAGTGTTTTAGTACAATCCCAGTATGTATCTTTATAACTGCAGTGTTTTCAGCACTCCCAAAGTTAATACTAAGTAGCCAGTTGACTTTCCTATCCCACAGTCCATGGCTACCTGCTGTCTCTCTCTGGATTTATCTGTGGAATAGTAGGAATGGGATCTTACAAGTGACACCTTTTGTGGGAGCTTATTTCATTTAGCAAGCACTTGTTTCTCATCCACAATTCAGCATGAGCATAATTTTATTCTAGCATTGCCTTCTGCAGACATGCCATGCTTGCTTCTCATTCCTTCCTTCTTGTGTGTTGACTGTTTTTTTCCTTTTGACTCTTGTTGATTGTACTGCTGTGGTCATTAATACACACATTTTGCTGAAATAGCATTCACTGATATCAGGATAAATATGTTGTCATAGAAGTGTAAGGCCATATTATTCTGTCTACAGCCTTTTGAGGAGCACCTACACTTTCTATGGAAACAATTCCACTTACATTACTATCAAGGATGTGTAAGTACTCTAATT